AGAAAACCCAAGTAGAGATAAATACGGTTTTTTTCGTTCTTAGAAATAATAAGAATTTTTTTTTTCAAATTTAATAAATTAAAAAAATATATTATTTCACTAATCCATAATAAAAAAGAAGGGATCAAAACCAATGAGATTTTTTTCAATTCTTTCTAATTCTTGAAAACCTATGGAAACATATACAATCTTCATTATTCACCCTTTAAGGAAAAAAAAAAAAAAAATACGATTGATTTTACTCAATTATTTTAAATTCCACAAAATTGATTGAGTTTTAATCTAAAAAAAAGCTTGTTTTGTTTATAAAATCTATTGATTTTCTAATTGAAGAATTATTAAAAATAAAAAAAGGCCGTTTACTTGATTTTTTCTAGATATGTTGAGAGTATTAAAAAGATTATCAATATAAACAAGAAAAGTATAATACAACTTTTAAAATCAAAAGTGAATAATTGAAATTTTTAGATTATACCCCATTGCTTTAAATTCTGATGAAATTGGGGTTACATAGGAAAAAAGTAATTATATTACTGCTTAAAGAAATAAAAAATTAAACAAAACCAATAAACAAAGTTTTTTTTTATATTGTCATCAAAATTACAAAAAAAAAACCTAGTTTTAGTAATATTTTGTCCTTTCTTGAGAAAAACATTTTTTCAAACAATTTTTTCTATTTGCTAATAAATTGTATTTCATTCTCACATAAAATAAAAAACAGATAGTACATAATTTTTTTCAAAACCTTGGTAAAAAAGTTTTATAATATCTTCCTAAAAATTGTTAAATTATAATTTGTGATTTTTTCTGAAACTGCCCAGCCTCTGAAAATAATCGTAAAATCTGGATCTCTGAATTAAAAAAAATCAATATATCTCATATACTATAAAAAAATAATATTTTTATTATTATTAACAGAAAAGACTCCCTAACTTTATTAGCCCTAGTGGAAAATAAAAGTATTTTTGGAAATCTTTAAAAAAATTTCTAAATCACAATTTAGGAATTCTGGAAGTAATGTAGAGTACCTTGGAGTCCCTAGTTTTTCCAAGATTCAAAATAATTGAGTAAAATCTTAGATTTTACGCAATTCTTTCGAATTCCGGAAAATCGAACTGCGGTTTTTTTTTAATTTGACAAATTATAGAAAATTTAGGATTTTTTTTTTTGATTTCTAAAATTAAAAAAACCTAACAGAAACAAGAAAAACTGAAAACTCCTCGATTACGGTATTAACCTCACCATAGATTTCTCTATAACCAAAGTATGTTTTAATTGAGTATAAATGATATTAATACACAATGACTAAATAGCTCTAAAAAATCTATTTTAAATCCTATTGCACAATAAATTATTAAATTTTTTACTAATGATCGCTATTAAAAAAGTTTCATTTTGAAAAAGTTTTTTTTAATTCCTTTTCCAAATCTAAAAATAGAAACCCAAAATACAGTATTCTGATATTTAATAATTTAGATTTCGAACTTCCAAAAGTAACTATTTTAATAATTTTTAAATTTCAAAGATTAACTCAATAATCATCAACATAAAAGCACAAAGACTGATTAGTTTTGTTTTCTATTTTTGATAAGGTAATTGTAACATCAATAACTTTGCATAATTTGAGAAATAATTTTTCAAAAAAATTTATTGGTTAATTATTTAATATTTGAAAAAAAAAGAATTTTTTAGTAACTAATCTACATTTCGCCACAAATTTAAGAAAGATATTTTGTGACTTTGTAGTCTGAATATTGATAATTCAACCTTTCAATTTATGGCGAAATGCAGATTTTATTCTAAAATTGTTGGGGTTTTTTACTAATACATAGATCATTTTTAATTGATGAGATCAACAAATATTATTACTTGAATAATCAATTTTTTAGAGATATTTGAATTATGTAGTACTAATGTGATTACATTCAATAACAGCATACTTTTTTCCTAGGCTTCTCCTTGGTAGACGCTAATCTTTTAAACAAAAAAAAAAAAAAAAAAAAAATTTGAAATTTTTTAGCAAGACTGTTTTAAAAAATTTTTTATAAAGTAGTGAAAAAAATACCGGACACTAAAAAAATCCCTGAAAAGATTTTAAATTGTGAATATTAGTAAAATTTTTCTGAAATTTCTATTATTTGCAATCAAACCCTTTTTTTAAGAATCAAACTTTTTAAATTATATCTCATTACTTATTAGAATGATGATTAATGAAATCACACTTGTTCAAAACACCATTCAATCAATCAAAAAACAAGAATAAAAACTATCATTTTCCAATTTCTAGTAACCTCTATAAAACTCTATTTTTTTTCAAAAAAAGTTGATCTACTTAGGCTATCAAACAATTACTCGATTATTCTAGAGACATCTTACTTTGATGAACTTTAAGTTGGTTTATTACTAATCTCATAAAAAAATTGGTTATTTATAATAAGGATTTGATTGAAAATAACAGAAATTGTACAAAAATTTTCCTAATATTTACAATTAAAAATCTTTCCCGGGATTTTTTTCATGTTAGATATTTTTTTCACTCCTAAACTTTTTATTTAAAATGACTAAAATTAAAATTGATAATTGGTTGTAAAAAAGTTGTTAAAAAAAATTATTTCTCACAAAATAACCTAACGATTTATTTTTCAAATATGAATTATTATTTGTAGAATTGACCTTAACACAAATAATAAATAAGTGGAACAATGCACATCAAAGAATAGTTGATGCCGTACAAATTAAAACAAATAATTCAATTGATTTTCTTAAAAATTGAAAAATCCAAAAATCTAAGTGAGCCCATTGAGAAAAAGACAATAAAGTTAATTTTGATCTTCAATTTGAAGATCCAAAAAAAAATTCCAATTGAAATCAAATCAATTTATACAACCATTTCCACTGTTTTAGAATAACATTAGAATAACACTTTTGTTATAAAGTGACTTTAGATCTTGTAATAAAAAATAAAAATTTATCAATGAATTATGGGCCAAAAAAAAAATGATAAAAAATGAATAAATAAAAAACTGTGAAATGTGAAAAAAAGATTTCAATTTTGAAATTTCCAAAATTCATTTTTTTCTTCTAATATCCATTCAAACCCTTTAATCTCATGTAATTCAAATTCACTCTCCACAACTGGGTAAACTTTGACTGAAAAAGGGTTTGTTTCGATTTTAGTTTGCCAACTACTAAAAGATTCTTTGAAAACATTTTTATAACACGTCTTAAAATGGTATTTTGATTTGTATCAATTGAACACTTTCTTTTCCTTATGATTTTTATCAAATTAAAAAATGAAAAAATGAAAAAATGAAAAAATGAAAATCAAATAAAGTGTTTGTTTTTTTTTGAAATATTTATCTTTATTTTGGGGGTATCAGGCTATTGTGTTGTCTGCTGTTTTCCTCCAATTGTTTCTCTTCAAAAATGAAAGAGAGTGATGGGAAAAAAATGATCACTTAAAATATCAATTTTTTTTATCATCAGCCAGATGGGTTGTATAGATTGATTTGTTTGTGATTTAATTTGTTTTAAAGATCTAAAGTCTTGTCTTGAAATTGATTTAATCAAAAAGTCCACCACCAAACATGTCGTCGTCAGATTCGGATTCAGATTCTGGCTCTGGCTCTGGCTCTGGTTCTTCTTCTTCTTCTTTGTCAGCAGTGCTTGGTTCAGCAGTTACAGTTCCAACTTTTTGTACATGAAATTTGATTATTAGTTTTATTGGGTTTGGTTTGTTAAAAAAAAGTTCATAGAAATAAAACCAGATTCAAGATTTAAAAAAAAAAAAAAAAAAAAAAAAAAAAGCAACAAGAAAAAAAAAAAAAAAAACAAAAAGCAAGATTAGACAAGGAAAAAAATAATAAAAAAAAAAAATAAAACAGGGCTGTTTATTATAAGCGGTTTTATTTCCTTTTCGTTTTGATAAAGAAAACAAATGTTTACCTGATCCACCAGAACTTATCAAGTTTCCAATTTCATTGTTTTCAAAAAATCTGACATACATGTCAACCATATAACTTTCGAATGGAATGTTAGCTGATTTGAGAACGTTTTGGATCTTTTCTGAAGTAACTTTGATTTCGTCATCATGGAGCATAAGTGCAGAGTAAATGATGGCTTTTTCAGTGATTTGTTCTTGGCTCAAGTTTTCCATTTAGTCTTTTTATTGTGCAGAAGCAAAAAAAAAAAAAAAAAAAAAAAAGTTTGTTAAAATTTCTGATTGTAAAAATTTACGAAAGATTTAAATTGTGGTTGTTTTGTTTTGTTGGTGTGTTTTTTTTTTGTGTGTGTTTGTTTTTTTTTGTGTGTTTGTTGTGTTGGATGTTTGTTGTAAAAAAAGAATAATTACATAATTTTGAGATAAGATAGAATAAAAAAAATGAAAAAAATTCTATTTTGGAAGAGTGAAAAATTCATATATTCAAAAAACCAAGGTGATTTATTGCCTCTAGTTGGAAATAGAGTTCGATTCGAACACTGCATCTATACTTCAAGATCAAAAATTTATTGTGTAAGAGTGTGAAAAGTCTTATAAGATTCTTGATCTTTTGTTTGAGTATCTTGAGTGAACAATTGATGATACGGCTTCTATCAAAGTTGTTAAGTGGCTGATTGGTTTTAGTTGTGGATCAAAAGTATGAAAATTACTTTGTTACACTTTCTGAAATGTTTGTTTATTCCCATTTATATATCAACAATTATTTTTTAGTCTGATTAAAATAGAATTGATGAATTTTGTAAATGTAATCGAATTTCGAACATATTTGTTGGTGTTAGTCAAATTACCACTCTTTGAAATTATTCCAATATTTTTTATTTGGTCGACAAAGAAACATAATTTTCTTGTTAATAAAAAAAAAATATTCCAATTTTTTTATGATTATTGATCACTTGATAGAGAAAAAAATAAAGAAGGTACGATTCTTTTCTTTAATGAGATCAAGAGTTTATTATTCAAAGAATATTTTTTACAAGTTGTGCTTAGATTTAAAAAAAAATGAGGATAGCAGGACTCGAACCTACAACCTTTCGGTTTGGAGCCGAATGCGCTACCATTACGCCATATCCCCTTACATTTTTATATACACTTTATAATTGTATTAATTATATTTTACTCTGTCAATTAATAAAAAATCAACAATTTAATTTAACAAAATCATAAACACTTATAAAAATTAATCAATCCAATTAACATTTCTCTAATGATATTCATATACTCAATCTCATATAAAAATTCTCATATTAACTGATTTCAAATTTCATTAAAAATAAATAATAAAATCAAATTTACCAATCAAATATTATATATAAAATTAAAGAAATACAATGAATTGATCAATTAATGAATATCAAATTATATTCACAATAAATATAAATATAAAACATTTTTAAATAAATAGTATTTTAAAAAATCAATTATTAGACAAATATAATATATTTTTGTTCCTCAAATTAAATATTAAATTCAAATCACAAAACCAAAAATATTTAAATACCACAAATAACAAAACAAAAAATTATATATTTCTTGATATTTTCTAGAATATTTAAGAACATTTAACAATATCCATCTCAAGACACGACAAAGTTACAAAAACCTATATAATGACAATCAAATCGTAATATTTGTAGAATATCACTAAAATATCACATGATCGTGATAACATCGAAAATCGCTAAATTCTTTAAAATCCTGACAATAGTCTAAAAATCTTGATAAATGCCAAAATATCCTAATAAACACTAAAATAGCAAGATAATAGGTTTTTATTATGGCCACTTCAGCAATATTTTTACAAAGAAATTGGTTTTGATCAAAAAAAAGATCCAGAAAAAAATATTATTTTTTTAAAAAAAACAACAAAAAAGATTCTTGATTCAATCAAGTGACCTACAAAAGAGTTTTCATTTTTATTTTATTTTAATTTAAGTTGACACACAAGATCCATTGATCCCCTCTATCGATAAAAAGTTAGAATAAAAGGCAAATAAACTGATTCCCAGTCAATTGTAGCTTTATAAATTGTGTTTAATGTAAGGGATTCCAAAACAAGCAACAATTCACTTCTTAAAGAATTTGTTATTGGGTTAAAAAAATTTTCAAATTCGATCAAAGTTTTAAAGGAACATGAATAACTTTTCAGAACCCCCCCCCCCCCCCCCCACACACACACACACAATAGCCTAGCCACATTATCACCCTTATTACAATTGTTTGTAAATTTGTATTCTTTTTGTTATTCTTCATCACATTATCAATATAGAACAGAAAACACAATTAGAGTTTAAGGGTTTAGTACTAGATGACAACATGGAAAAAATCATAATGTATTTTATTGATGATATACTCTAGTTTCAAATTTTGTATATACAAAGTGTCAAAAAATTCTGATCAACTAAGAAACCAAAAAGAATTAATTTTTTTAAAGATCAAATTTTTTTTCCATTTTTTCTAATACATTTAAATTCATTTTATTTCTTACATTATAAAAAATTTTACCCGGTTTATTACCATTTCCATAATTATTTTTCAATATCAACTCTTTTATTCCGGGAAAATTAATATAAAGAGTTTTTTTCTATTTCAAGATAATTCTATTGGTTAACCAAAACAAATGATTTATTCAACTTATCGACAAATTTTCATATTTATTTTTAGATGTAGAGTTATCATTCTTATAAACTACATTTCACTGGAAATCCTTAGCCAACAATGAAAAATTCACTTTGTTTTAAGAATCAACCAAACGAAGATTGTTTAAAAATACAGTCGTTTTCACTTTTAAGGCACAAACTTTCAATGAAATTTAAGGCACAAAAAAAATTACAAATTAAAGCACAAAATTGAAATTCTAGTAAAAATAAATTGTAAAAAAAAAAAATTCCAAATTTTGTACATTAATTTGAGATTTTTATGGGCCTTAAAATTTGTTGAAAGTTTGTGACTTAAAAATGAAACTGACTGTAAAATAAATACTAAACTTCGGATTAGAGTTGATTATCTTAAACTAAATACCTGGACAAATCATAAATTTCAAAAAAAAAATAAAAAAATGTATAAAAAATTTTTTGGGCATTTTCATTGGAACGTCTTGTGGAAATTTTCCCAATTTCTTGAGGAAATACAAATTATCTACAATAAGATTTTTTAATTGTATTTATATGAATTTTAAAAGAAAATACAAAGAATAACTTTTCTTAATGTAAATTAGTAGTTATTAAGTATTTTATTTATTTATTTATTTATTTATTTATTGTGAGAAAGGAGTAACAAAAGAAAATTTTCGAAATAAAAAATAGAAGAAGAAAAATAATTAAAATATTAAAGTAAAAAAATATTATATCATTTACATGACTAAAATTAAAAATTATTCAAGGTCGTTAGGTTTTTCAGGATTTGACAGAATTGAGTAAAATCCTTGATTTTAATAAATTCTTTCGAATTCTCGAAAACTGCATTAAGCATTTTTTTTTTTTTTTTTGAGAAATAAAAAGAAAATATTTGAATTTTACTTTTTATTTCTCAAATTAAAAAAAAGTGTCGTTAGGTTTTCTTGAATTTTCTGTTTATTTGAAAAATCGATATATTTCACAAATAAAACAGAAAACCTCAAGAACACCTAGGCACTTGACGACACTTGACAATACTTCTCCTGAAACAGGAGAAGTAAAAACCCGATAGAAAGATCATCAGTAAATAAGATTCCACAAACTGTGATTAATAAATCAGTATTCCACGACTCCGAAAAGTGGGGCACTATGAACTCAAATTTGTATATTTTGTTACTATTTTAGGAATTTTTTATTTTCAATTTTTTTATTGTCAATTTTTTCTTTATTACCTAAGTTTTCTAATCATAAGAGCTTTGATGAAAAAATATCGACAAGAACAATAAATTTCGTAATTTTGATTAGCCAGATTAAAAAGTTTAAAATTTTAAGTATTTATTTTTTGAGAAATTTACTTTAAAAAAAAACGAAAAAAGAAAGAAAGAAGTAAAAGAAATAAAGAATTAAAAAAAATAAACAAAACCCATTTTAGAAGACTTTTCTTCTTTATCTTTTTAATGGGGGTATATCAAGGATTAATTTTTCTTTTACCCAATCCCTTTTTATTATTGTTTAATCAAAAATATTTTTTTTTTCAAATTAATTTTCAAAATTCTTTTTTCCATAATTTTTTTTATACAATGCCCTAAAAACAAAGAGTATTATTTCGAGAATTATAAGAAATAGATTGAATTATACAAAACAAAAAAAATAACTAATAAGTATTCAACCCAAAGAAAAAGAAAATATTGAGAATAAATTGAAATCGTGATTTAAAATTATTTTGGGTTTCGAATTATAATGGAATATAATTAATCTTAAAATCAAATCAAAAAAATACATCCAATCAATAACTATTTACCAAGAAGAATCAAAAAATATCCAATTTTCAAAAATCAAAACTATTCATTAGATAAATTAAATAAAAAAAGAAATAAAATATCTCTTTTGGAAATTTTAAAGTAATAGAAAGTAATTTGTTTATCAAAAATTTTACAAATAAAATTATTTTCCTTCCGAATTAAAAAATAAAATTGAGTAATAAGAAGTAAATATACCAAAATTTCATTGACAAGATCAAGTAATAAATGATTTTTATTTATTTTTTTCTTAATCAATTGTTTTTTTTTTGTGATTATCTTTTTTTTATTGGTATGAAAATATATTATTCCAAGATATATCCCACTCTACTATTTATTAAATTATTGGTGTGTTTGTTTAAAGATATTGTTTGAATTATTCGGTTTCAAAAACACTATGGAATTTGAAATATCAAAAATGTCAAACTTGCTACAAAAAATATGGAAAATAAAATATTATTCAACTTTCTTGAAAAAAAGTGAAACATGATTTTTAATTTGGTAATATTCAGAGAATCAATAGAACCTGAATAAGTAAATCTTACCTACTCTCTCAAAAAAAGATACAATTAACCTTGAAGAATAATTCTTTACATGATGATAAATCGAATCAACAAAAACAATTATACTTTATTTTTATATATGAATTTGAAATGGCTATTTATTGAGTTTTCAAAAATAGTAACTTTTTCAAACAACTTTTTGTTGATAGAAAAGAGAAAAAACACAAACTAAAAGATCCGATTATATAGACTATTATTGTTTGTAATCCTCCATTTTGTATTTAGATATTTATGGTTACTTTTGTTAATTCGTCTTACTCTTGATTTTATTTCTGGTTTTCAATTAAAAAATAGGATCAACTGTTTTTCAATTTAATAATAATTCACTTCTTACTTTTACAATCTCCTTTTTCAGTTTTTAAAAATGTTGGAAAGTGTTTGAATGATTTGTGAAAATACCATAAGTATTTGAGTATATTTATCAGACTCTAATTTAGCCCCACCTAAAATATTGTTTGTAGTTTTAAATTTTTCGAAAGAATCATTTTTTCTCGTTCTGTTTTGAAAACTTTTTGAAATAAATCTTCAGAATTTGTTCAACCAAATAAGATCCTAAAAACTGACATACTAACAATTGACCGACTTTTTCCAACTGAACAGTTCTTTGAAGAGTTGTGAAAAAGACTAAATATCACGAATGACTAACTCGTATCAAAAAAGAGTTGCCTATTTTTATGATGTAGAGATCGGCTCATTTTATTATGCACCAAAGCACCCAATGAAGCCGCATCGTATAGCGATCACACACAATTTAGTTTTAGGTTATGAGCTTTATAGGCAAATGGAAATTTACACGCCAAAAAGATCAAGCAAGGAAGAAATGCAAATGTTTCATTCCAAAAATTATGTAAATTTTTTGCAATCAATCCTGTCAACAAACCAAGATCAGTTTCTTGAACAACAATCCAATTACAATGTTGGTGAAGACTGCCCAATTTTTGAGAATATGTTTGAATGGTTTCAAATATCTTCTGGTGGTTCTATACAAGGCGCGGTTAAACTCAACCATAACCTTGCAGATATATCAATTAATTGGGCTGGTAAAATCTTTGTTTTTTTATTTACTTGGTTTTATTTTTTAGTATTAAAACTGTTTCG